AACCTTTAACATGTTATAGTTTAGGACGCTTATTATTTTTTGGGAGGGAAATTTAGGTATTTTTTACAAAGTAAATTTAAAAGCCACCCGGATGTGGTGCTACCGGTCCGGATCGGGTAGTGATGACGGTAAATGAACCATGGCTAACTGCTAATGTTGCTAATGCTACATCCACATATAAGTAAAATTATAGTACAAACCCTTTTGAGAAAAAAAAAATAAAGATGGGCGCAATGAGTTCCATTTTTCTCTTCTTAAAAATGATTTTAAAAGAAATTAATCAGTGACGTACAAGGAAATGTTTCCTTTGAAGGAGCGGGGGATGGTGGGGGGTAAAATGTGCTATTGGAGCGGGAAAGAAGTCTTTGTTTTGAGCTGAAGAACAAGTTATAAAATGTTTGTTTGTTTTAAATGGACATGTTAATGGAGCTTTTTTTCCTTATATTAATTTAATTTCGATAAAGTATTATTATGGGATGTAAGCAATTTTTTCCCTGCCTGAAGTATAGCTGCTATATATAGCCTCACCTTTCAACCTGCTTTCTGTTACGTTTCTGCCCTGAAACTGAACCCAGGGAAACGTTGGTCAGTTACAGTTTTATTCAACCTAATTCACTTGATTGTTTTGTTAAAAACTTTCCCAACACTTGAAGTTGCTTCTTTCACTCTGCATATAACAGTTTCCAACTTACTAACAAGAAATGTAGATTTAAAACCTTATTTCTCTTTTATTTAGGTCATTTTGTTGTGAAAACTTCAAAGCTTTTAAGTTTGGTATTTTATTGTTAAACCACCATATAGAGCCACAGTAGAGGCTCCAGACAGACTCCTGTTCTCCACCATCAGTGAGCATTTAGACGGTCTGCTGATGACGTCTGTCTGTGGATTTTTGACCTTGATAAATAAAAAGCATCTTCAGGAAACCTGTTCTGTGGTGAAACCGCGGGACCGCCTGAATAAAAGGTTTCAGCGTTAGTTCCAGTTGGTTCAGTAATTGTGTTGTGTGACGGTTCATGGTCGTTTGTATGATAACCCAGAAGACCCGGATCGAATGGGTGAGATGTCTTAATGGGGGTGTTTGGTTAAAACCTTTAAAATGAAGAAGAAGAAAGTGTTAATGTGCCTGTTTCTTTATCTTTTTTTGTAACCTAAATGATCAAAATGTGCTTTTTAATTCAATTATTCATGTTAGCAATGTTGTTAAAGCAACAAGGCTTTATTTAAACAGTTATTTGTATGTCAACAGAGAATATAATGTCCAAATTAAAGTGCCATCTGTCATTTTTTCTTTTTTTACGGCTGCATGTTTGATGGGTTTTCCCATTTCTCTTTATTTAAACTGTTTTTTTTTATTTCATTGCAAAGCCATGTCACATTATTTGTCAAAATATAAAACATTAAAAAAATGTCATGATGAAAAAACTGTTTCTCTTTTAGACCTGTGGAAATGATCAGCAGACAGCATGGATTAGTAGATCTGTAGCGTTTGTCAGATTTAGGTGTTT